TGCTTTCCTTTCTTTTCCTTTCCTTTCCTTTCCTTTCCTTTCCTTTCCTTTCCTTTCCTTTCCTTTCCTTTCCTTCTTTTCTCTTTCCTTTTCTTTTCTTTCTTTCCTTTAATTCCTTCATTCCCCCCCCCCTTTCTTTCTTTTGAGACAGGGTTTCATTATGTAGTTAAGGATGGCCCTGAACTCACTGCATAGCCCAGGCTGGCCTTGAACTTATGATGATCCTTCTGCCCTCACCTTCCAAGTGCTGGGATTACTGGCATGTGACACCGTGGCCAGCCTAGGAAGCTTTACACTAATGGCACTCCTATCATCCGTACAACTTTAAGTAAATTATAATTGACTTTGAGCGAGGCCCAGTTTCATGATTTCGGAACACCAGATGTCAACAGCAAATATTACCAAACTATTACCTGATGGTTTACCATTAGAAATATGTCTAACTTGATTTAAGATTTTGAATTTCTAGATTTTGATTTTAAGATGAAAATAGGCAAAGATATTTTTAGAGCAAACTGTCTTTAAAAGGCTGGTCTAGTGCAGAGGACCTTAGAAAATGGCATGAAGTTTCTTAGCTCACAGATGAGGGGTTAGAAAGCAGACTGAGATAAGAGGAGGCAGGAGGTCTAAGTCAAATATTATCTTCTCAACCCACATAAAAATAATTGAGGATTTTACGTCAGCTAAAGAATTGTTGTGTAAATTCTTCACCCCTCTTCTTCAGGAAATATATCATCAGTTGAATAATCTCTAATGTTTTCAACCAATGAAAAAGAATGATGAGTAATTTTGGTTTTATTTTTAAATATGATATGTTAAAATTTAGATCAACATATGAAAATCAACAAATGGATTTGATTTCTTTAAAGAAAGATTATGGTTGACTGAAATCAAAATTTTAAATTTGGCATACTGTATCTGTCACAGGAAAAAGAGCTGCAGGATGAGCCTGAGTACCTATTTTTATCCTTTGTAGAAAAGCACATTTGAGTCTCGATATTTTCTGCAACTGATAATTACTGCATAAAGGAAGAAGTTGCATGGAAGAAGTTTTAATTAGGGCCAGACAGAAGTAATTCTTTAACTGAGAAACTTTAATTTTTGCAGTCAAAACTTTCTTCTTTGGCTCTCATGATTCCTATGCTTGTGGGGTTTTTTGTTTTGTTTTGGTTTTTGTCTTGTCTTGTCTTATTATGCAGTTCAGGCTAGACTTGAGCTCAACTTGTAGCCAAGGCTGGCGTTGAACTTAAGCAAATCCTCCTGCTTGAGCCTCCCAAGTGCTGGGGTTACAGGCGTGCATCACTACACCCAGCAGGATTCTCAGGTTGCTCACACCTGAAGCATCCTTTTCCTACTCACTGGTGGCCAATTGTGCAGAGCCAATATGATGTGACACACAAGTTCATCATGGGTTTGGACAGCTCATATTACAGCCCTCCCATTTACAAGTGCTTCAGTTTTTAAAACTTTGCAATAAGAGCCATGAACAACGATCATGAAACAAATACTAGGCACTAGTGATGGAGTCTTCAGGAGATAATTTCTCAGGACACATTGGAGGTTCATGCATTAGATGCTGTCATAGACCGTTCTTTCTTCATTATGGTCATGGCCACTCCCCATCCTACTGCGATTCATAAAACATTTTCAAGAAGAATCCCTTTCTTCCCAGCGCTTATGTCTGAGGAGATGAACACACAGTCATGTCATGTTTTAGTGCCAAGCTCTGCAGAAGCAGCACAGGTTATTTATTTTTCAATAGAAAATGGAAGTTCAAAGTATGTACAGAGTTGTCTGGTTTGAGGATGGTTGAGTATGAGGGTGATGTAACCTGAAGATGGTAAACTAAGTTGTTGATGTTTATTAGAGGAGCACTCGATACCTGCAAAACAATTAACAAGTACAGTGGAGGGGGATGGACAAATACTGAGTAACAACCAGAAGTCATTCTGTACTGGACGACACACCTGACAGCATTGGCTGGTGAGGGCTCTACATGGGTTCCTGCACACCTTAACCATGTTAAGAAGTATTGACTGACTGTGGAAGTCAGTGTGGAGATGTCTCAAAGCACTGCAATCGGAGGTCCCACTCAACTCAGCTATTCCCTTTCTGGGTATATTCCCAGAAGAATTGTACACATTGTACCACCGTGATATATGTGCACCTATGGTTATAGCAGCACAATTTGTCATAGCTAAATCTTGGATACAGCCCAATGCCCATCAATAGGAACGGACAAAATGGATGTGGTCTGTTTAAGCAATGGAGTACTACTCAGCTATAAAGAAAGATAAAGTCGGGCTTTAATTTTTTTATTTTTAAAGAGAATACAAAAAAGTACTAAACATTAGAAAGAACACAGAATTTCACTAACTAAAATGATAGGAGTTCAACAATTGTTGTATTGCCTATTGTTGTCTTCAAATTAGTTGTTCAGAGTACCAGATATAAGCCTACAAGATTGGTCAAAAGATTATAAAAAATAAAAAGGAGAGAGAAAAAAAATTAAGCATTAACTGCTCCTTTCAAAAGACCAGTAGAAACCAGCAGTACAATTATCCAAGCTATCCTGTATATAAAATATAAAATATATATTTCTTTTGCCTTCTTTCTTTCTTTCTTTCTTTCTTTCTTTCTTTCTTTCTTTCTTTCTTTCTTTCTTTCTTTCTTTTCTTCTATCCCTCATCCCAGTTGTTTTTTTTTTCTTTTGTATAGTTTCTTTCCTTTTCACTTTGCACTCTTAAGTCCTATTTTTGTAGGTAAATGAATACAACTAGAGATCATACTTACCAGTAAATTAAATCAGACCCACATGGATAAACATCCTATTGTCTCCCTGGTGTAAGAAAATAAGAGTGAATAGAATCTAAAAGGTACAATAGATATTGTGAAAGTGCTCAAGAGGAAAGAACAACTGTGATGAGGGAAAGGACAAAAGAAAAAATGCAAGAAAGAAAGAAGAGAGAAAGAAAAAAAAATACACACACACACACACACACACACGCACACTATAGCTAAGATAATTGCTTTACTAGTTTCTATTGGTTTATTAAAAGGAGCAGTTAATGCTTACTTTTTGACCATTTTACATGCTTATATCTGACAATCTGGACAACTACCTTGAGGACAATGGTACGCAATATGACAACCACTGTTTAATTCCTATCCTCTCCTTTTTTGAAATTCATTATCATATTTTATTAATTACTTTATTCTCTTTAGAATGGAAAAAGCAGTATTGATTGTCTCACCTGTAGAAATAGATGAAGTCAACCTCTTCACAATTTTCCTCCTGTTGAGTGAGTTCAATGAACATAGGGGGTCTAGGGAGACCTGGAGGGCCTACAAATAATGACACTTCAAAGACCAAACTCAGGTTTTGTGACAGGAGAGGTTAGACGTGAGCCATGTGATCTGACAGCCAGTCCAGGTGCCACGAAATGATCATAGAACTTGCTTAACTGGAAAGTGAGTCCTGTGTGGCTTTAACTGAAGGTAGGCTGAGATCACCTGCACAACCACCTATCATTTCTCTGTTTGGCTTTCAAACACACATACTTATTTTCTGTGCCTTTTAAAATTAATGTTATTTGGGCACATTAGACATATGTAATGATCACATTTATCATGGGGAATTGGTACCTGTACGTGCGGTATCCTGAGTCCTCTTTTTCCCCATTCCCCTCCCCTCCCTTCCATCACTCTTTCCCTCCTTATTCATAAAAGCTTTGTTTCCACCTTATCCTTCTTTTCTGGTTTTTTTTTTTCTTTTCCTTACTCCTTCTCCCTTCCCTAGTTCTTCTTTCCATTTGAACCATTTTTTCCTGTTGCACAATACGTACTACACGTTTTGGTCTTTGTTTATACTTTCAGCTTTTCATATCTGTTTGACAATAAGATAGTCACACTTGGTGTCTGGTTTATTTATACCAAGGTCCCAAGATGCATCCATTTACCTAGAAATCCCCCAAGCTTATCCTTTTCAGTGGCAGAGTAGTCCTCCACTGTGGAAAACAAACAAACAAACAAACCCCTCTTGCTTATCCATTCATTGGTTGATGGGCATTTGGGTTGCTTCCAAGATTTAACCACTGCAAATTGTGCTGCTATAAACACAGGTCTGTATATGTGACCCTTTTAGTTCTTTTGGGAACATACTGAGAAGAGGAATAGCTGGGTCAAATGGGACTTCCTAGCTTTTTGAGGAATCTCCACAGTGATTTCTACAGTGGTTACCCCAGTCTACAGACTGACCAACAGTGGAGAAGTGTTCCTTTTCTCCACAGGCTCTCCAACATTTTTAGAGATTAATTTCTTGATAACATCCATTTTTATAGGATGAGATGAAATCTCAGCATTGCTTTCATTTGCAGCTCTCAAATGACCAGTGATGCTGAATATTTTTCACATATTCAAACACAGTTTTATTTTCTAGTACACACTAAAATATTCCATGGTAGTAAAGAGAGGGCTTTTTAATTATGTAATTTTTCAAATGAAGGCAATAGCCCTGTGAATCAACTAAATCAATCAGTTTAACGTAAGTACTTAATATAACAGTGAAAAGCATTAAAACAGTTTATTATTGTAAAATATATTTCTCTAAAACACATGGTAAGATACTTAGAAAATTTTTAAAATCAAGGTAACAGAACAAGACTAGAGCATAGAATGTGTAAAAACTTTGCAATGCCATTGAAGACATTATGGATTTATTTGTGAAAATGAGAATATATTTGCATTTTACATGGAATCAAGTTTTGAAGAGAACATTATGGAAGAGTTAATAAACATAGTGTGTAAGTAGTTGTGCACAAGAGGGTGCTCTCTGAAAATACTTGTGTCATTTTGTCCTTTATCAGGTGAGAGATCTGAATAATTGGCAGTTTCCCCTCTCAGTCTAGACCCTGGTACGAAACGTCCTCTCTCTTCTCTTAGTTGTTCCTGAGTGTTTCTCTCCTGTTTTCTGTTATTTTGTTCCCTCCCATGAATTCTAGCGAATAGGTAGATATGAGTAATGATATCAGTCAGCTATAAAACAATTTAATGGGATCTGGTTCCATTTAATACTTGAAATTTATATGATGAGGGGGCCAGGAAGGTGGCTTAGTGGAATAAGCACTTTCCTGGCAAACACAAGGGCCTGAGTTCAAACCCTGGTTCTGCAAAAAAAAAAAAAAAAGAAAGAAAGAAATTTATTTTATGATGCGTTAGTTTAACTGTAAAAATACCTGCCTCACAAAGGTAGCCAGAGAGTAAATTTCATCCCAAAGTACTCCTGAGAGAATTCAGACCTTATTCTCTATTCTAGAAAATGAAGATGGGGCCTCACATGATGGTCTTCCTATCCCTTTAACCTATGACAGTTAAGGATCTATATTTTTATCTGCTCTTTTATATTCATGTTTACCGAGTAGATTGTTCACAGTAGCAAGTAGAAAAGAAAGCCTATCTAGAACTAGATACCATAAAAATGTCCCTCCTCCACCCAAAGGAACCTGTCAGGCCACTCTAAAAGTCCAAAAGTTTCTGTTATGGGCTGCCAACATGCCTACTTTTGTGGAAGAGATGGGAGACGAGATTACATTTGCTTCTTTATAAATCCCAAGGCAGAGGCCGTTGCTATGAAAACACTCAGGACAGCACTCAGACTACCAGAAAGCTTTTGCAAGTACTTCCATCAGCTTTTACATTTTGGCTTAAACATATTAGTGAGTTAGTGAAAGCCTCCTTTTATGCATAAACACTGCCAAATTTTCAGCTTTCACAGTTTAGTTTTCTGATTCTAAATGTTCCTCAAAACTCTCTTTCAAAATCAGATGTTTTGTAATTCACTAGTTCCTATGTGCACTCATTTACAATATGTGTGATGTCTCCATGCTAATTTTTCAACTTTCCAACTGCGCTTCTTCATCATTCATCCTTGTTGATCCTGACAACATCTTGCTCAGGTCTGAAGGTGACAGTACAGACACAGAAGCTCCTACATGTGCTCTGCATTGCATCCAGCCCTTAAATGACTAATGGAAGCATGTCCTAGTTAGGCCCAGGTCTCTTTTCTTGAAACAGCAGATGGAGTATTTCTAGATAAAGCCAGGCATTGCCACCTTGGTCTCATGAATGATTTAAAGCCAGGTAATGGAGCCTGGAAGGTTCTATACAGTGTATTCCTTTTGGAGGAGCAACGGAACAGTGGTTGTGGGCGTTGAATCTTGGACGTTTACCCTGAGCTGCTTCCTTGGACATTTTATTGCTTTTCATTTCAAGACAGGCTCTGTCTCAGTTGCTAAGTTTCTTAGGCTGAGCTTGAGCTTGTGATTTTCCTGGCTTGGTCTACTAGAATGCTGAGCTCACAGACACTTGGCATCATGCAAGGGTGATGGTATATATTCTTACAAAGTTATTCCACTGTTAAGTATATATTCTTACAAAGTTATTCCACTACTAATCAATTGCAATTTTTTTTTACTGTCTCTTCAGATTAATAAACATCATTGTTAAATGGAACCAAATAACAGATGTGGATGAGTGAATTTATTCTCCTGGGACTGTCCAGTGACAGGAATCTTCAAGTCTCACTCTTTGTGCTCTTTTTTGGTCATGTGCCTGGTGATGGTGCTGGGGAACCTCCTCCTTGTTCTTCTGATTAGACTGGACAGCAGACTCCACACTCCCATGTACATTTTTTTAAAAAATGTGTTTGGTTGTTACAGGGTCTCAGTATGCAGCTCAGACTGACAGTGATCCTCCTTATGTCAACCTCCCCAGCCCTAGGATTTCAGACGTGTGCCACCACACCCGGTCTAGGTGGCTGGCTCAGCACACCCAGGGGCGGGGCCAATGAAGCATGTGGTGCAGAGGATTGAACTCCAGTCCCTGCGCTTGCCTAAGCAGGAGCTTAGTCCACTGAGCTGTCTCTCTGGCCCTACCGTGTACTTCCTTCTCACCAACTTCTCCCTGGTGGATGTGTCTTATGCCACCAGCATAGTCCCCCAGCTGCTAGCACATCTCCTCATAGAGCAAAAAGCAATGCCCTTCCTGAGCTGTGCGGCTCAGCTGTTTTCCTCCCTATCTTTGGGTGGGCTTGAGTTTGTTCTCCTGGAGGTGATGGCCTATGACCGCTACGTGGCCGTGTGCAATCCCCTGAGGTACTCTGCCATCATGCATGCAGGACTGTGCAGTAAGCTGGCCGTCACATCCTGGGTCAGTGGCTCCACCAACTCCCTCATGCAGACTGCCATCACTTTTCAACTTCCCATGTGCACAAACAAGATTATTGATCATATATCCTGTGAACTCCTAGCTGTGGTCAGGCTGGCCTGTGTGGACACTTCCTCCAATGAAGTGGCCATCACGGTTTCTAGCATCGTCCTGCTGCTGACCCCCTTCTTCCTGGTTCTCTTGTCCTACATCCGGATCATCTCCACCATCCTAAAGATCCAGTCCCGAGAGGGGAGGAGGAAAGCCTTCCACACCTGTGCCTCGCACCTCACCGTGGTGGT